AAGCCCAAATGTTATACAAATAGATACGAAAGGACAAACTACTTTCTTCCCAACGAATACTGACAGATCAAATGTTACTATTCTTAAAATAATACAGTGGTCGCAAATACAACTTCCACAAGAATGGAAAATTTAGACTTCAAATCTAGCAATTAAAACCCCTCAAAATAATATTCCGAATCAAATAATTGAAAATATAGATGGAGAAGTAGAAATATTATTTAATACAAGAACTCTTTCTTTAAAAATAAAAGACGATAATTATCTTCCCTTGTCCAAAAATTCAGCCAAATTCCTATTATCTAGAAGATCTGTATCTAGTATATCCAGACCTGACACTGCATCATCCTCAGAACCTGAAATACAAGGATTAATTAGAACTCAGGATAATATACACAAACCTATGTATCACCCACTAAGTACTAATACTCCAGATCAAGATTTTCAATTATTAACATAACAAAAGGAAAAAAAAAAAGACTATACAAAAAACAATTATTTAAGTAAGAACAATAAAGACTTGCGAAATTGGTACTTAACTACGTTCTCAAAAGAATTAATACACATGACTCATAAAAAATATAATCGATTCTTGAAAAAAGAAAAAATAAACTTAGGATTTTTTGAATGGCTTAAAACTACGTTACTTTTAAAGGAGTAAAAATCCCTGAATTCAATAAACTTCATACCCTTGAAAATCAATATCAAACATATATTACAGATCAAAGGAAACAGATTCGAAGTATTCATCCTCCTGAAGAAAGTATAAAAATCCAAGGAAAGGATAAGCAAGAAGAATTAGAAACTATAGTCACTCCATATAAAACACTTCCTGGAAAACATTATCATAAAATAGAACTATTACCTCTTCTATTAGAGCAAACTAATTACACATATTTATATTTAAAAACTATAAGGAAACATACTACCAGAATATAAAATATTATCAGACAACCACAAGAAAAAATTGAAGAAAAGAAAAAAGCAATGTTATTTAAACCTCCTCCTCTAATTAATAAAGAAAGATTTCTATAAACATATGAAAATCTTGAAATGGATGGTGTAGATAATATATTGTAAACTACACTATTTTTCAGACTTGAAATCTTTTTATTTTTCATATTCATACATCTCAATCTTGAGATGATCAATCAAAACTACTTTTTTCCATTGAATTTTTAGGGGCATTAGTAGTTTTATATTATAAGGTTGCATCCTTATATAATCCTTTTCCATTTTTAAAAGGTAAGTTCTAAGTGGTAGAGAAATAAGTTTTTTTTTCTTTAAAAAATAGCTATCTAATAATTCTTAGATAGTTCCCAAAAAATTTGGGATCGAATAAAAATATCCCAAGTGGGTCAAGCATTCAATATTGCTCCCGTAGGAGCACATGCACAGCACTTATTTTTCATTTTTAAAATGCCTCTAAGTCTAAGCATAGTGTTCCATCACTAAAAAGGTCACAAGAAATGATGAAGACTTGGGGGATTGTGAGGGCAGAGGAGAGAGAAGAGAAAATGATTTTAAAGGCACATAAAATAAGTTGCATGAAACACATGGGCCAGAAAATTAAAGCTTACTTTTAGCAAAGGACAATGTTTTGGCGATATCTAAAGTCCATCTCTAAGTTTGTAAAAAATAAATATTACTTCCACTAAAAGTTAAAAGAAAAAGTTGGTGCAAGGTTGCAATATTAAAATGTAGAATTAAAGATGCATTTCAAAAATCCATCTTAATAGGTGCTTTAATTGATCGACAACGAGATGTATGAATATGAAAAAAAAAAAAAGATTTTGAATATGCGAAATAATGTATCTTACAACACATTATCTGAACCGTCAATTTTCAATATTTTCATATGCCAATAAATCTACTTGATTTGAATCATTTTTAGAGTTTAACATTTTATAACTAGAAATGAAAGTAGATTCTCAATCCATCCTAAAAAAGAATTATACAAAATTATATTTATAATAAAATTTAGAGATGCACTTTAATTGGATTGTTTAAAGTAGCAACCTTATACAAACCACACCCAAAATTAAAAAAGACAGTATTAAAAAAATAATATTTATATTTTTTAAAAAATAAAAATTCTAAATTTAGATAGTTGTATTATTGAACTCTCAAATTTTGAATTAAAAAGATATATTTTGTCGAGGTACTGTATAAAAATTGTGTGAGTCGACCAAACACTTTTCCTTGAGGTATGAGAGGGACGTACTGGGATTGAATTATTAGAGAGAGAGAAAGCATAAAAAGAAGATGAATGGTCTGAGACAAAACATTTAAAAAATGATTAGAGAGATATAGCTGAAAAATTGAAATAGGTTTCAATAAATTGAAGGGAAAAAATATATTTGAAGAAGCATTTATATTGCATAACGTGTAGAGTTAAGGTGAACCTAAGAGACCACCGATAAAACGGTTTTTTGAAATTGAAAAACTCTCTAATTGATCCTCTTGACATGGAGATGTATAAATATTGAAAACAAAAGTTTTTGAGTCTCAAAAATTGTACACGGTGTAAAACATGAACGTCTATTTTCAAAATTTTCATGTGTTCATAGATCTATCTGATTTAAACTATTTTTGAAGTCTAAAATTTTATGATTAGAAATGAAGATGGATCCTCAAGTCATTTTAAGAAGTTTTGACACCAAAATTGAATTTTATGATAAAATTTGCGGGTGCACTTTGTTTTAATTGTTTAAGGTTGCAACCTTTTTGCAAACCACACTCAATATATGGCCCACGCATAATTATCTGATAACATATTTTACTTGTAATACATCGGTAATTATTTTGTTGGGATATATTTTTTAAGGGAATAAAATTTTTCCGGAATGCATTGAAGAATTTTTTGTTTAATCAATTAATCAAGATTGGACCATTCGAATCGAGAGCCTTTTAAGTGAACTACAATGCTTTCGTCAGTTTAAAATATTAGCTTTATCTTAATGGAAAAGCATACAATAAAATTATTTATATTTGATATATAGAGGTCACATTTAATCTTGACTATTGGATGTAAAATTGAGCGGTACATTAACCAAGCTTTCTATGCTTCTCCTATCTAACATCGATTATGTATGGATGCTTGAGATGGCCCCAATCACAATGTCGCTTTCTATATTACTTTCTTTTGAATTTTTGTTCTATAAAATATTCAGATACCAAATTCGTTTGAATTCTTTTTCTACAAAATATTTTGATACCAAAATTTAAACATTCACTCCTCTCTTAAACTCGCACTTGTAAAAAAATATAAAACAAATATTTTTAATAAAATAAAATGACCAAAATACCTTTAAAAGCTTCAAGAGGTGTTTTGATTATTATATTTTATTAAAAAATTATTCTTAATATCTATTTAGGTGCTCCCTATTGAGAAGATGACACGTACCAAATTTCATACACATACAAGTTGTAATAAAACACTAAAAATAAAATAACCTGAGACATCGGATTTAGATCAAGTCGTGAGTGGCTCACTTGATCTAAATGCGTGCAGTTGGCATACGGATGCATCCGTAGCTGTAGAGGTAAGGTGCACCTTCAAATTTTATCATGATATATAATTTTGATGTAAAATGTTATTATGATTATCTCAAAATCTATTTTTATATCTAATTATAAAATTTTAAAATTCAAAAATGGCTAAAATCAAGTAGATCTATAAACAAATGAAAATCTTGAAAATAGACGGTGTAGATAATATGTTGTAAAATGCACTATTTCTTAGACTTAAATTTTTTTTATTTTTCATGATCATACATCTCGATGTCATCGAGATGCTCAATCAAAGGGTTTTTCAACATTAAAGCCACCATTTCAGATGGATTTTTGAGGTGCATCCGTAGTTGTACATTATAAAGTTGCATCCTTATATAAACTTTTTCGGATCTAAATTGGATAGATGGATGGATGGGAGGACGTGTAATCTTCTAATTGAAACCTTTCCCGTTAGAAAATACATCAAATTTTGTTATTTTTGTTTTTGAAAGTTTTTTTTTATACTCGTCTTCGCCATAGTAAGGAGGATTATCAAAACCTCGAATTTTAAGTCAAAATCGAAGTCTAGGATGATTACGGAAAGAGGACTCGTATGAATAGATGTGTCGGCGGATTGTGTTGAAACCTTATCGAAGCGTTGAGGGCTATAAAAAAAGCAAAAAGGACCTTTGTCCCTAACTGAAAAAGGAAAGCAAGACAGGGGTATTTCCGTCACCTCTGCATGTTCACAGGGAGGTGGCTTTGTCCTCATCCGCCCAACTGTTGACGCATCCTCTCTCTCGCCCTTGTCCTCAAGGAAGAAAGTTTGTACGAGTGCGAGGCTCTATCTAAACAATCAAATTAGAGCGCACATCAACATTTTCAGTTGTTTTTATGCTCAAATGTCCTCAAATTAATTATTTCGACTTCAAAATATATAGATAAAAAAAAAATATAGATTTTAATTTTTAAAAATAGTATGTCTTCTAAGGTATTTTAAGACCGTCGATTTTCAAAGTTTTGAAGTTTTCACATATCTGTTCCATCTAAATTAGACTATTTTAATTTTTATAATTAAAAATGAAAATATATGCTAAAGCTATCGCAAAGTTTAAACCACATTATTTTTTAACGCTATTTGAAGGTGCAGTCTACTTTGATTGTTTAGACCCACGCCACTGCTCTATACAAACCGGACCTTTTTGCGAAAGTGTCGATCTCTATCTCAATCTTTTTATTCCCTCTTTATCTAAAGACCTTATCTCTCTCCTCTCAACTCTAACCTTTTCTATCTTTCTTATTTCTCTCCACCTTTTTCGCTCGCTTTGTGTCCACGTTAATCTAAATTTAGGAAAATTAAGATTTTCCACGTCACTCTCTATCTCTCTCTACAAAAAATTCCGACTCTAATCTCCCTTCATATTTCCGACACGCCATCTCCATTATCCATTCACCATTCTCTCTTCAATAATAATCAATACCCCCCCCCCCCCCTCCCCTCTCTCTCTCTCAATAATCAATCTCTCCAATAATTAAATTCCTGCTCTCTGACAAGCAATCTCTACAACCTTCTCTTTCTGTCAACAACCACTGCGTCCCCCCCCCTCCCTCTCTCTCTCTGTAACCACTTCCACTCTCTACATAAATTGCTCCCCCTCTCTCTCTGCTGTCATCATCCCCACCCTTTCCAATTTCTAGTAAGCAGCCTCTCTTTCTCTCTCCAGAAAGCTCCCATTCTCAGAGAAACAAAACAGAGAAGCACAATAAACAAACCCTCCCCCCCAACCAAAAAAACCAAATTCAAATAAGGAGAACCAAAAAAACCCAGAAAATCCAAAACAGAAATTAACTGCGCGCCCCTCTTCGTCATCAGATGCTGGTGCATAAATCCTCCACATCACGAAGCCCTATCCATTCCATTCAAAACTCTGACTCCCCCTCTCCTCTTACGCAACAAGAAACTACTCTCTCTCTAGAAATTTGGGCCTTTCTCTCTCTAGAAATTTGGGCCTTTCTCTCTCTCTAGAAATTTGGGCCTTTACGCGTCTCTCTCTTTCTCTCTCTCTCACATTAAGATTTTATAGACCACCTCTCCTATCTTTAGAAATCAGTGTTTCAGAGATCACGCATTTTGGCGAAGATGAGGAGGGCATTGACACAAGAAGAACAATCTAGGGTTTTCTATGAGCTTTGCGCTCTGGTTCTTAACCTTTTGAGGATGCCTCCTGTTCCATTGGAGTGCTCGTCTTCGAGCACTGGAAGGGCTCAAGTGGGCTCGAGAGGGGTTCGGGTGGGTTCGGGTCAAAGGGTTAGGGTTACAGCAGCTGGTGTGGCCTCTCTCTCCCTAGGAATCTCTTTTGCTTTGATGCTTTGTGGGTCATTGACCTTTGTGATTGGGGTTCTTTTGATTCCATGGGTTCTTGGCCTGGTTATGCTCTTCTATTTTGTGGGGATTGTTTCGAGTTTGTCGGGATTGGGGAGGGCGATTCTTCGTTCGGGGTCAAGCCATCATGGATCGAGCAAGGAGGTGCCTGGTAAGAGATTTTTCTTAATGGTATTTGTTTTTTAATTTTTTTAAGAGCTTTTCTTTGTGTGGGTTCACTGATTTCCTTAATGAATCATTCCTTTTCACGTTTTCTTTCCTTGTGGTTTTGAGAAATTCTTAATTTTATGGCAATTTGTGTGATGTGGAGAGACGTAATGTGTGGTTTGCTGAGTTGTTGATTTTTTGTTTTGATTTCATTTGCTTTATTGACTTTCCAATTTTGGGTGGGATTGTGGAGGTTTTCTATCGTTGCATTTTTGTCTTTTCTTCCATTACATGTGATTGAATTGTTGTGGATGTTTTCTGAATAGGAGTGTTTCATTTTGGTAGTTAAAGTTCTGGTACCAAGATGTGGAGCCAATTCTTCATTTGCTCTTCTTTTTGTTCTGGTTTGTAAAAAATCTGGTCTTTGTTTTGCTTCTTTTTAAATTGGATCGATTAAAAAAAATTTGGTTGTGTTTTGCTTGATAGATTATTGAATATGGTCTACTCAGTTAAATGAGTATTTTTTAGTTCTAAATTGCAAATGGAGATTTGGGGATCGTTGTTAGGTTGCAATTTCTAATTCCTGGTGTTTCAGTGTGACTTTTGTTTTTTTTAACTCAATTATAGAGGATTTTCATAAAGGAAAAAATTTAAATAAGGTTGACACCTTAAAATGTAGAACTAAGGTGCACCTCTAAAATCTTTTGTAAAAGGTTGTTTTGATGTTGGAAAAGATCTAATTGATCATCTCGAAATTCGAGATGTGTAGATATGGAGAAAAAAAAAAAGAAGATTTCAAGTCCTAAAAATGGTACATTTTGTAATATATTATCTGGACCGTCTATTTTCAAAATTTTCATTTGTATATAGATCTGCTTGATTTGAACCATTTTTTGAGTTGAAAATTTTATGATAATATATAAAAATAGATTCTCACACCATCCTGAGAATTTTTTACACCAAAATAGCATCTCATGACAAAGTTTGAAGGTGCACCTTACTTTGATTGTTTAGGGTTGCAACCTTATGCAAACCACACCCTTTTTTTCAATATCAGAAAGCATACAAAATATAATTATGCATAGCAAAGCTCAGACACTCAACAGATGTTAAGATGACATCTCAAAAGATCTTCTGATGACTCTCCACATGAAGAAAATGCGAATCCCTACTAACTTTTTGTTTCGAGAGGGTATAGGCGTCTTCATTGATGCTTTTGTATTGTCTTGATGGGTATTTTGGCAAGTGGGAAGTATGTTGTGCAATACATTGGTCCCATTTTACCCCATGGTTTGTTCCCCTGACCCCTGTTGATACAGATATACAAACATAAATTTTGGGAATGTAGATGGGCTGTTCTTTTTATCATTTAAGATATTTTCATTGCTTTTATTCTTCTTCTCTTTGGATGGCCAAGCTCCACCAATATATATTTATGTATCAATCGATCTTTCTATACATCTATATATCTATTCATCCATGCACAGTTTCCTTTTGGTGCCCCTTCTGGCCTCATCATCTTTGCCTGCTCTTTATCTGTGCAAATGCATAGTTTACCTGCACATACAAGATGCCTTTGCAGCTTTCATTTCAATATGCCGTTCCTGATGCATGTAATGAAGTGCGACCTCCTTTAGGACTCTGTCAATGTTCCAAGAGTCTTGTTTTCTTTGTTGGTCAAGTGATGATGATTGGGATGGTTGGTAGAGACAGCACTCATTACATTGGAGGATTGAATACCAATGTTTAGAGCTTGCATGTTGAAAATAGGTTTATTATACTTTGTCTATTTTTGTCTTGATGCATTCTCCACTTGTGTACTTTTTAGTTGGCAGTTTTTTCCTATTTTCTCCATGCAAACTTGCCGGTGAAATTGTTTAGTGGGAGAATTGTTCTATGGGTTTCTCTGTGAACCAATGAGATTGTAAATTTCCATTAATTATTGTACATTTCATTATAATCTTAATAACTACATGGCCATCGATGTTTATTTCATCATGTTTCTATAGATGGTTCTCTTTTTATTTTTTTTAAAAAAGTTTCTTTAGATGGTTACTTATATTTTAGAAAATAATACATATACCAATACATACATTTGGTGTACGTATTTTACATGAATATCTTTAAAGTTTATTTCAAACCTCTAATCGCATTGAAATTTGATTGTGTTTTTTTTAAAGGTACCTTTGTTTTATCTTTTTTATCTGCTCATGACCTTTTATAGTGATGAGTACCAAGACGATAGGTGTTCAGGTCAACAACTTAACTTGCCCAACAAGTTTTATCTCTAGTGAAATCAACCATCATCTTCAGGGTCTGATTCATGACTTAGCAGCAAAGGATGACAATAGTTGGCTTGGCTTGGCCCATGTGTTGGTTTTGATGTGATGGTTTTTATTTTCAGTTGTTCTTGATTTTCTATCAATCATTATAACATTTCTCTAGACTATGATTTTCCTGAATTGTCTGTGAGGCATTCTGCCATTGTATATCAATAGAACATTAATTATCTATGTATCTAAAACCATAGGATAGTAGATGAATTTTCTCGTTCTTAGGCACATGCAGTCTTGTCAATTGTTACTGGTTTGGCACATTGAACTAGTTCATCCTAGACAATTAGCAACCAAAAAAGTGGGTTATTAAGTCAGAGGGCCCTGCCTGCCCAATATATCATGTTTGCCTTATCAAAATTTTTGGAAGTCTTGACATAAGAAAAAACTAGTGAAAATTGTTAGTTCTTGTAAGTTGTATGATCCAGTTAGAAAAAAATATTGGTCCCGTTTTCATGCTTGAGTGTTTAGGCATAGTGTATGTACTCAATGTTAAAAAATTCAACTGCCCGGCTTAATAGGCGGCCAAAGCCTTTCCCACCTGCAAAAGGGCCTAGGCGGGGTGCCTAGGCATTTTGTGCCTAGTCGTCTGTCTAGGCGGCCGCCTAGGCATCACCCAGTGCCCTTTGGCGAGGGTGGAAATATGCCCTCCGTCAAGGAAAAACTGTCATCCCCCCCCCCCCACCCACCCACCCCAGATGGGGGGAAAGGGTTTGGGGCGGCATTGTAACCCCCCAAAATCTACTTTGCTTTCATTTAAGAGAGAGAAAAAGTCCCTAAACACAAGATTTTTTGAGATTTTTGAAGATTGAAAATTTTCTTGAAGATTTTGATTTCTTACGAAATCAAAAAGTAATCAACCTGGTACTTTTTGTGGGTCGATTTGGTTGTGAAAGAATGATTTTGACTCTCACCAGTCATCAATTTGAGTCAAGATCTAGTGCCATATTAAAAGGTTCGTATATTTTAGTTTTTTTTTGTTTATGGTTTATATTATAGTCTTGAATGTTTGGTTTAGTGTTTTTTTTAGCCCCCTTCTTTGTTTTTTTGTTCTTGTAAATTATTTCAAGTTTAGGATTGTATTTGTGGCCCATATTCTTGATTGAAAAAGGATCAATAATGTATCTTTCTTTTTTTGTTTGGATTTTGTTCTTGTATTTTTATTTTGAGTAAATAAAATAAACATTCTTGTAAATATTCCATAGTGGCATTTTGCTAAGATTGTGTAACCCAATCTTAGTAAAATCTCTAAAACTTAGTTGAAATGGTTTATTTGTATGTAAGTTTTTTGTTTGGTTTCTTGTTCTTGTATTTTTTTTCAAAGTTAATTTTTGGATTTGTGCCTTATATTTCATAGTGGGTTTTTGTTTATGTTTAGTTCATTTTACCGAGATTGGGTAATCGAATTCTCTAATGATCAATTATAAAGCAATTCTATTTTTAATGAAGTTTCAATTTGTTTTCACTTTTCAGGTTTTGATTAAGTGAAGATTTCTTCTAGTTCTAACAAACAATTTGATGCTGGGTGGAAATATGGCTCGTGCTCTAATCCCAATGATAAGAATTATACGGAGCGCAGATTTTTTACAAAGGAATACAATGCCGACATTAATAGATTGAAGAAACATCAATTTCTTTTTCTTTTTCTTTTTTTATTTGACTTTTAGACTCTTAAATAATTCAATGGCAAGTAGATATTTGATATATGTATGAAATATGGTGTATCAGGGACTTTGATAATGTGTTTTACTAGTATTTCTAAAAAACTAAAGTATCTAAGATCATTTTGAGGCAACTAAACCCCTCTAAACAGCTTCCTGGGGCCTAGAGCCCTACGTTTCCTAAAACAGGCCGCCTAGTGAACTAGGCTTCTGCCTAGGCGGCCAAATCTATATTTTTCAACATTGTATATACTTGTTTGCGGCCCATGGCGCAAAGGAGAGAGAAAGATCTGCTTCTTTCTTTTGGGAGTTAGGTTGGATTTAAAAGGAGAGAGAAAGATGTGGATGGGGTTTTCCATTGGAAAGAGACATTGAATTCCTTTTCCTGCGCGATTGGATTTACATAAGAGACAGGGATAAATGGTATTCAAGTTGTAGACAGATAATCAAGGTCCAAGTTAGTTTTCTGCTACTGACAGATGCGGATTATGCCTATAAACTGTATTAGGAGACAGAATTGCCACCTTGATTAGAGAGGACCGGTTGCACCAAGGGGCTTGTGAAACATGCTCATGCATATCACACAAAATTTCACCTTGATTAGAGAGGACCGGTTGCACCAATGGGCTTGTGAAACATGCTCATGCATCTCACACAAAATTGCCACCTTGATTAGAGAGGAGATTGAATTTCAGATCCATCTGGTTTGGTTATATGGATTGTAGAATTGGTCCTTAGAAAATGGCACTTTATCAATCACTCTTCGCAAGTCTGCTTTGTGGCACCCAATACGGTCCCATTTAATGTTGCCAGGCTGGTTCATCACAATCATTACCGTATCATTTATCCCTAATGAAACCGATGGGCACTTGGCCCTATTAAAACCAATGGGTCGCCCTACAGGGACAAGTACTTATCTTTCACAAAACTAAAAACCTCCCAACCACCTCCTCCTCCACCCTGTGTGAGCGGGCTTCGCTCGCACAAATTCTTTTGTCATCTCCATTTGAAGGTCAATTTATTCATCTATTTGATCTTATCCTCGTGTGACTCACTCTCTCCTTCTATCTCTCTTGGTGTGCATGTGTATGTGTGTTTGTGTGTGTCTCCCTCTGTTTAAAAGTTGAAACCAAGATCATTTTGGTGCTATATTGTGGGGAATGAGATTGGGTGCCAATTCGAACTTGATATTGGAGGTATTTTTAGATTCTTGATTGCATTATTGTTGAGTTAGAACTTGTCCTTTTATTTCTTAATAGTCATTGAGAACTTAACTTTTTGAATGTGCCAGGCTGGTTCATCCCAATCATTACCTTGTCATTTAGTCCCAATAAACCGATGGGCACTTGGCCCTATTAAAATTGATGGGTCGCCCTATAGGGACAAGTACTTATCCCTCACAAAACTAAAACCCTCCCAAGCACCTCCCCCACCTTGTGTGAGCGGGCTTCGCTCACACGAGTTCTTTTATCATCTCCTTTTGGAGGTCAATTTATTCATCTATTTGATCTTATCTTCATGTTACTCGCTCTCTCCCTCTCTCTCTTTTGTGATCTTATCTTCATGTTACTCGCTCTCTCCCTCAAACACTTTTGTGTTTTCCCTCTGTTTAAAAGTTGAAACCAAGAACATTTTGGTGCCATATTTTGGGGGATGAGATTGAATGATGGTCTAATTCGAACTTGATATTGGAGGTTGTTTGTATTCTTGATTGCATAAGTGTTGAGTTAGAACTCTTCCTTTTATTTCATAACAGTCAATTAGAACTAAACTATTTTAGGGAGCGGAACCTTTTTTCTTAATGATTGTTTTTTGTTGGTTATATTATTTTCGGTTGGCACTTGCATTCCATTGAATGATGATACTTACTGGTGTCTTCTTTTTCTTAGCATCATGGGATTTAACTAAAGCACTAATCTACTCAAAATTGGTTTTAATCGAGAGTTAATTTCAATAGCTGGGAACTTTTAATTCTGTGAGCCCCTCTCATAGAGCCATATATGAGACCAAGTTCTCCTTGGGGTGTAGTGTTCTCCAAATTTTGTCTGCTACTACATAATTAAGATTTGATTATATATCACACCAAGGAAACACCTTTAAATGAAACCCTCTCTTTGCATAACTTTGATGGTGCCTCTAGTTAGGAAAGCATGCAGTACAGCATATGCCATAGACTGTCATGGTACACACAAGGCCCATCCTTCATTTCAATGTCTACTCTCAATGGACTGTGGGGATTAACCATATGTGTAAATGTGCATCATTGAATAATTCATCAAGAGACACACATGGAACTCAGGTTACCAATGGTTCTAAACCTTGGATGCGAGAAATTGTCGTAGAAGTATGGGTTTGGGAAAAATGGAGGAGGGATGGATCTCACCATTTGGAGAGAGTTCCATTTGCTTATTCTTTTTTCTTTCTTTCACTGCATAAATTGTGGCTGCATTTTATGTATCACTTTCTTCCCTATGAAGAAACAAGATGAAATTCTTGGACTAGGGTGCTTTCCAATACCTCTTTAAGGTGCTTCTTAGATAGTAAACTCGTTATAATTCACTAGGATTAGCACTCGATTTCATTATTTTTATGAGTTGGTTATGATGCTTTTTATGAGATGGCAATGATGCTTTATTTATCTGTAATAGATTTGAAAGTTTCTATTTTACTGGAAATGCTTTTCTAGCTTTTATTGAAGCTTAAAAATGGGAATGTGTGATTGAGAGAGAGAGAGAGAGAGAGATGAGCCCACGTACTGGCATGAACTCAGGATTGGGAAATGGAATTTGCAGGATAGCTCTAAAGATTGCTGGTTGCCTTCATGGGATGCCTTCTCAGGGAGTTTTAGAGGTGTTGTTTTCCTTTGTTCTTTTTCCTTTTTCCTTTACAGGGATGAGATCTGTTACAGTTCAAATGAAGATTCAGCCTAAATGGGAAAGATGGAACATGTATCTGTGAATATAGTAATTTGTTGACTTATCAGAGAAGAAAGGAAGTTTTTGTTGGTAGGAAACAAACATTTTTCATTAGTATCAGCTCAGAAGCTCCACAGCCTCCCATTGAGTGGTGGTTTCTTATTACACTAATATGTAAGCCATCAACTTTTTACAATGAATTCACCTTTTCTCTCTCTCTCTCGATCTCGATCTTGAGCTGCTTATGATGCTAAGAATTGGAACCATTTATTCATCTACAGCTTTGGAAGTGGAAGTTACGCAGCGTCTTTTAGCTTACTTTTGCTTCGCTTGATGAAGCTTGTAAATTTTTTAGGACTATGGGATTCTTGCTTTTGAGGAAATCACGTAGCTGTGAATTAAGTCATTTTATAGTAGTTTTATCTGTGAATAAAGATAGCCTTGTATGTACTCTAACCATATGCGTACTATATGAGTGTTTATGTACGCTAAATGAATGATAATATTTTGTCAGCATCTTATATGGGATGTAATGTGTGGGTGGTGCATATACGTTTCTCCATTTGCAATAGTGAGATTTTTTTTTTTGGAAAAGTATACAATGGGACCATTTGTCTTTTGCTACAAAGTGGTCACAATTAATCTTGACTATTGGATGTGAAATTAGATGACTATATTTGTTTCATTGATCAAGCTCATGCTTCATACAAAGTTTTTTCAAACTTTATGGCACACCCAAACTATCTGAAGTTGTAAGTAATTGTGATCTCATTGTATAAAAAATGGTCTCATTGTATACACTCCCATTTACTTTACTTTAGGCTGTCATTTGGATCTCTTAAAAAAGATTATTACGTTATGACCCATTTACTTTAGGCTGTCATTTGGATCTCTTAAAAAAGATTATTATGTTATGATATCCTAAGGAGATTTTGCCCCTTTCGTCACGTTATGATTTTCTAGGGAGATTTTGCCCATTTGTCCTTTTGATCTAAAATTTGGATGGAAATTTCTTGTTTTGATCTATTTTAGGTGTAAAATAAGAAATTATTTTATATTTCTTAGAACCAAATTAAAATAAAAAATAAAAAATAAAACGAATGTGTAGGTCTTTGGGGTCTTTATATGTGACACTCTTGCACTCTGGCCCTCTTTGTTAATCCGACTCCTTAACTCTCTCTCTTCTCATCAAGAAAACGTATTTTATTTCTCATCTAATATCTCTGCCTCTCTATTTACATCAATCTTTTTATTCGTTCGTCTCACTCTAGCTATTTTCTTCTATGTCTACGATGCTTTCAAGAGATTCCTTGCATTCAATTTTATTTCCATGTAAAAAGGTATCTTCAAGTTGAAGTAATAAAAACCTATTAGGGCAAATATATTTTACAGGAGTTTGTTTTTTTTTGGAAAGATTTTATAGAGATCCCTAAAAAAAAAAAAGAAAAATAGTAATAACCTCTCTCATTTTTCCTATGGGACTGCATTGACGTTTAGAAGTACATATCAGTCCACCCCCTCACTTTCTTCCCCGTCTTTTGTTATCTTTTACCTCTTATTGATTACAAAAAAAACAAATTTATCCCGATTCTCTCTCTCTTGACCTTCACAAAGGCGAGATCTATTAAGGAAAAAAAAATTCTTTGGGGCAGTTAGTGATAAAGAAGGAAGAAGAGAAATATTTGTTAAAAAAGAAAAAAGTTGAAGAGAAATATGTGGGGCTAAAATAATACATATTTTTAAAAAATTAATGTAAAAAATTAAGGCTGTACGACAAGAAAAGCAAGACCCGATAGGAAAAGTAGGAGAGACTACTATGATATTAAAATGTTTTTCGAGGGATCCATATAAAATTTTTTCTTGTTTTTCAGGCAATTTTTCTCAGGAATCCAAATAGAACCAATATTTTTAATTATGTTAGAGAGAGTATTGCGGTCCATAGTCAAGATCATTGTCAACGTTGCCAAGTTAATTAAGCGGAAAGAATTTCCTTTATAATTGGAAAATGTAGCTTTAAGAAATTCCCATTGAGAAAAAATAGATTTTTAAGATTTTTTAAGTTTTTATAGATTCGTTCGATCTAGAGGTTTTATACAAACCGCACCCATTATGCTTTAACCCATAAACTGGTATTGAATCACAACGATCTCCAAGTAGCTTCCAATAAACGGGAATCACAATTTGCATCACCCCAGGCACTATGATTATATTTATTTCATCATCATCATGACTTTTTTTTCAATTAACTTAGACCGCCAAACTTTACAAGTAATGGTCAACCAACATTTTATTTCGACTCCATTCAAACCCTGCTCTATGCTGCTAACTTAGTGCTAGGCCTAGCCTCTTCGAACCTAGCCCTACAAATGTAGGGCCTAAGCAACTGTAGCCAATACCGACACAATCCCTCCTTTTTTATTGTTTTTCTTTTAATTTTTTTTATATGTTTGAATTTGTTTAGAGTTAACAACCCTTCAAAATACAAAAGTTAAAATTAAAAAAAGTTGTGCTAGATTTATTTATAAAAAAAATCTTTTTATTTTATTTTAATAGATAACTTAATCATTAAGTAACAACAAATTTGAAATTTTACAAAAGTACGATGACATTTTAAAAATTAGTGTCTTGAAATTTTATTTATTTGTATAGCGCTTTTATCTTTTCAACTTTACATTTTTCAACTTGTTCAACTTTACATTTTGTGAAGATGACAAAATAACCTGTATCTTCTAGTAATATTTAGAAAGTTGTCATTACTTAATGCTAGAGATTTCACAAAAAGTAACAATTTTTTTTTAAATACACTACAAAATTAATAAAGAGAAAAGTTTCTATGCTTCTCACAAAATTAGTAAAGGGAAAAATTTCTATGCTTTCTCTACAACATAGAAGTTCTATCCTATGCCTGCCATCCAACCATCTAATTTTGATCAAAAGAGTAACTCACTGTGCATTATCCTCCCTCTGCCATCCAGCCATCCAATTTTGATCACGAGAGTGACTCACTGTTTGACATTAGATCGGACGTCTCAAAGTATTTTATTTTTAGTTTTTTTTATACAAATTGTATGAATATGAAATTTGATACATACCATCTTCTCATTGAGGCGTACCTATAAAAAATATTAAATATAATTTTTTGATAAAATATAATAACCAAAATACCCCTTAAAACTTTTAAAAATATTTTAATCATTTATTTTATTCAAAATAATTTTTATATATTAATAGAGGAATGGATATCCAAAAATTGGTATCAAAATAATTTATAAAAAAAATTAAAAATAAAATAATATAAAGACAATTGGGGCCATCTTAATCTTCCATTTAGAATGAAATATAAATGAAAGGTTGGACAAAGGAGATGATAAAACTCCTGTGATGCAGAAGTAGCGTAGAAAGCTTCGCCATTAACGAATCCACCAATCGCAACTCTCTCGACCTTGAACCTTGCAATTTGGAGGCTTGTGAATTTTAAATTATTTGGCTCGGCGAGGCCCTTACTCATACTGGAAAGACAAAAAAAGATTAGCTTTCTTCTTTTTCCTTAATAAAAGGAAAAGGAAAAGTACGCATAGGTGGAGGATAAGTTCCCCAGTGGTTGTGGTCCTTTCCTGTACTACTAATAATGTGCCCCTCATCTTTTACCTTTACCAACGTTATCAATTCCTTTTTCTTTTTTATCAAAAACTGTTTTATTTTTAATTTTAAAAAGCTTAAATGCTCCCTCTCTTAATGCTCTAAATCTCCATTCTCTCTCTAGAAATGACCCCAACCTCTCTCTAGAAAGACCTCCAGTGGTCACTCTCACTACAAACACCTACAATGGTCTCTCTCTTCTTGAAAGGTGCCTCTCTCTCTCATAAACACCCCTCTTCCACATAGTCCTTCATCTCTCTCTCTCTCTAAATAAGCATTATAACCATCAAATTAAAACAATGAAAAGTAGAGCGAGAAAGAATAGCCAGTCTGCTGAATTCATCCAGAAAAGCCATAACAATATTTGAACAATAAGAGGCATATCAGATTTCTTTAACACTTAATACAAAAATAAAAATACTTAACAAACTAAGGAAACAGCAACAAATTCGAAAGGGCAAAGACCCAAAACACAATTATCACAACCCTCTTCCTACACATACAAAATGACAGAGAGATAAAGAGAGGGAGAGAGAGAGATGGCCTTACAATTAAGGCCATTCCCGTATTGTTACCGGAACTTTCAGCAAGGAATCAGCCATAAACAGGGGCTTTCTCTCTCATAGCATCGAGCATGGCGACCTACCCTGTATATATATGAACACCGATGGCGATCAGAAAGATGGTGATGAGACCAAAGTAAATAATGGTGTGAACCAGAATGGAGATCCCGCTCGTCTGAAAGTTCCCGAACTCCACAACCCTGCTCTTTCCTGGAAGCTGAAATAGCAATCCAGGAGATAACAGAACAAAAAGCACCACCGCTATCACCACAGGCCCCCAATCCGCCATGGCTATCTCTGCAACTCCAAAACCCTCACCCTATTTCTTGTCCAAACCTCGAACCCTACCGCCTGACTCGTCCTGAAGCCTTGCAAGGCAGAAGCCCAAACCCTAAGCGCTTCTCAAACCGTGGAACGTAAAAAAATCCTATCCCCGCGGTATTTTCAAACCCTAGGTCCGGAGACTTAGAGAGACAAAACAGGCAGGCACAGAGATGTAAGGTAAGATAGGGACAAGGAAGCAGCCGTGGAAGAAGAGCGCTCAATTTATATATGGATGAAATTTCTATACGGCCTAGGCCCTATGAAAACTAACGCACGTTAAATCCTCGTATGGAAAACCACGAAAATCTCCATGCCACTAAAATCAATTTCTAACTCCCTAATAAAATTTGATACTCAAAATTATTTTTAGGGCAACGTAGGCTGTCTATATGATTTATTAAAAAGTCACGCTTCCTATGTTTTCCTCACAATATAAAACTTATATACCTCCTCTTATCCAACCATCCATTTTGAATTGAGGGTTAAGATTGCTCCAATCACAATGTCACATCTCTATACTATTTTATTTGTAATATGTTTTTATAAACTATTTTGACATCAAATTTTGTGCGTCTAATCTTCTATTAAACTCCCACTATCAAAAAATATAAAAAAAATATTTCTAATAAAATAAAATAACCAAAATATTTTTTAAAGTTTCAAAATTTTTGTTGGTCATTATATTTTATCAAAAGAATTATTTTTAATATTTTTTATAGGCGTACCGAATACGTACCAAATTTTATATTTATATAATTTATATAAAAAAACTAAAAAAAATATTTGGAGATGTCGGATATAAAATCAAACAGTGAGTAGCTCTCTTGATCAAAATTGGGTGGTTGGATAACAGGAAAAGCATAGATCTTCTATGATGTAGAAGAAGTATAGAAATTTTTTCCTTATTAAAATACATACAATTTTTAAAGTTTGGAATCTTAATTTTTGTCGGGTTGATCAATGTAAAAATTTTATAGTATTTGAATTAAAATATTTGATGAGTCACTATGTGAGGCTTTACTTGTTTTAATAGAACTGTCAAACTATTTTGCTTTATAAATTGATTAAAAATTAAGGGAATATGGGAGGACATCGTGGGCAACGCCAAAAGCACCGACCTCCACAACGTGCAGTGTTATCGGGTGACACGTGGCAATACAGCATTCGAGGTTGGGCCTCACCAAAAAATTGTCTATTTTTTCCAGTTTTTTGTGCTAAGCCACCGAAAAACATAGGTGTCGATACTAGTTTTTTGTGGCGAGGAAACGCTCCCGCGGGAACGAAGAATCTTTTGAATTTTTTAGTGCACTCTGTTTCTATGCGGCCACGCCCGCACATGTAGAAATGACGGCCTATTAAATCTATTTTTGAGACGGAGTTTTTGAGGACATGTAAGAAATCATGACTATGAAAAAATAAGTAAATTTTAAAAATTAAAAATAATAATTACAGTAAAACAATGGGACCAATAGTTTCCATTTTTTTCGTTTTTAAATGGAAGACCTACTTGAATTTATGGATGCTTTTAACACTTTTTTTGGGCTGCACATGCAGTCATGCGATCCAGCCCGCTCGAAATAATTTTCCTTTTGCAAAAGGTCAGTGAGTTTTCAACTTTTGATGAAGTAAAGAAATTCCCCTTGTCATAGTTGGAGTGAATTTATTTTCCGGGTTTTTACAGTTAAATAGTAGAAGGATATATTCTTGCCTTGTGTGATTTGGTCAGGAGACTTGATGCGTGAGCGTGAGGGTCCATGACTTGCCAGCTTTGGAAGCGGGTATTCACGTGTCTCGCAAATCGCAATCGAGACGAAGTGAAAGCATCCATCCTGGTGGGTTTGCTCTAGAAGAGGAGAGAGAGTTTCGATTTTGTTATATTCAATTCCTACTTTTATCTTTATTGAAGTCCTCATTCAATTAGGCCTCCCTCTCTCTCTCTCTCGCTAACAAGGGCAATTCATCTCTCTCTAGATGCACAAGGGTGGCAACAACCTTGTCCTGGCCTGGCCCGGCCCTTATCCCCATGGGGCCAGCCCTGGCTTGGCTCTATTAGGACCGGGATAGGCCGGGTTGGACCAAAACTAATGGAAAAAAGTAAAAGACAAAACAAGAGAAAAAAGAAAAAGGTTGTGTCGGGCCAAACAAGGTCGCCACTATTTTTTAGGGCTGGGTTGTCCTGGCCCAGCCCTTTGCACAAGGCATGCTTCCACATCTTGGATCCCTTTCAACTTTCAAAAAATCCATGATCCAGATCAGAACTGGCTGATTTGGCTTGGGAATCATTCCGACCAATCCGAATCCCATAATATATAGGGAATTGGCCAGTTCGCCCATGAATAAGCCAGTACCAGCCAGTCCATCGCGATTCTTTAATAGAATCGAACGATTTTGTTATAGAACTGGTACAAATTGGCTCCACCTTTTTTAATCTTTTTTATTTTTTAGTCGTTGAATTGGCTGGTTCGGCCGATTCTAGCTGGTTCTAACTGCTTATCATAGAACTGGCGAGTTCATTTAGAGAACTAGCCAAGACAGGTCCGACTTAATTCCTTTTAATTTTTTAACTTTTTATAATTTTTTCAGACCGTCGATCCAGCGAACTAGGTTAGAAATCTAGAGGGCCAATCAGGTTCATCAATCCATTTTCCTGAACGTTGCTTTTCAAGCTTTTGCTTCCCCCTTCTCGGTTCGTTTGTAATCCTCCTCTCTATCTCCCTTTCTCTTTCTCAAGTTCTAGAGCAGCTCGAGGCCTTGGTTGCTGTCATCATAAACGGTGGTACTTTATTGGGAAAATTATAGGTACTTTTTAAAATGTATTTTGTAGATATCTCACTTTCAATACTTTTTATATACACCTTAATTCAATTAATATATATTTATTTTTATACCCCTAATCAAAAAGTTTATATGTTAAAAACTAAACTACCATTTCAATCTACCCTTGCTTTTTAAAACTCTCTCTCTCCACCCAAAATGGGAAAGTGCGATCCAACACAGAAGTATGCTCGATCGGTAGTGAGGCTTTTGGAATTTGAAGCGAATTCAGTCCAACATACTGTTATGCCGGACTGCTAGATCATCTTTCGGTCCGGCATAAATGGGTACCCGAATGGCTTCAGGTTTCAAATTTCAAAAGCCTCTCACATTTTTCATTTCTTTTGCCCTGGTCGGACAAGAAATGTGTTGGACTAGAAGAAAATAACAAAAAATGCGGTATGACATAAAATATGTTGGACCGGTTTGTAGCTTCTGATGACTGGTCCAACACACATTTCTGTTGGACCGAATTTTCGGCCCGACACTTGTTTTGTTGTATCTATGTTGGATCGCATTTTTGGGCAATTTTTTCTAGTTCGACAAATTGCCCTTGACAAATTCCCATTTTTGTTTTGAGCGGCGTGCCACGTTAGTTGACGAAAACAAGTGGATATGTGTACTAAAAAGGGCAGTTTTGTTATAAAATTAAACTTTTTGACTTCAAGGTAAAGGAAAAAAAAAAAAAATTGAATTAAAAGTGTGATATGAAAAGGTATTGAGAGGATGAATGTCTATAAAATACATTCCAAAAGTATCTATAGTTTTTCCTATTTTATTTGATTGGTCCCCAATTTAAAACGCTCCTAGTGCTAACTTTAGGCAGCTATGAAAAGTTCGTGACCTACTGACCTCGTATTGAAGGGGTCCAAATCTTAGGTTCTTACCTCATGGGTTGGCGTAGGAACGATCATTGATTCTTGGATTTGGATTACACTTCAACTGGGGATAAGAAAAGCCTTGTATAAAGGTCCAAATTTGAATGATATGAGCGATTTTAACTTTTGATTCGGAAATTACACGTAGGTCACTCACCCTTGAGTGTTGGGATACATGTCCTACACCTGAGAGTCTAATGCATTTGTCTCTCTTCCCTTTCTCTCGCCCACCATTCCCGTGTGCATCCACTTGTTTATATATATATCTCATTCCCATAGTATCCAATAGGGCATAGGGGAGAAGTGTAGGGGACCTAAAATTATAGCATGGAACCCGGATCCGAAAATATAGTAGGGAACTTGGAACCAGACTTGATCAGACCCAAAACTAAAATATCTATGTATTTATTTATATTTAAATATATTTAATTGGACCTAAAACTGAATCTGGACCCGGGCCCGGATCGGTTCTACCCTCAGGCCCTGGGGTCCATTGCCAACCCTAAAAGAAGAGTTTCACCAATTTTGGATGCCACAATGTGATATGACATTGGCAGTGAGTCACATATGACATCGGTAATTAACCACTACCAAATGGCAGTTAAAATGATTTACAAATATAATTATGATTGAAAAGGCCCCTGTTGAAGCTTTGAAATTCAGGTATGTAAAACAAAGCAAACAATCTTTTAACTAAGGACGTTTCGCACCAAAATTTGCTGAATTTTATTATGGGTGTGGTTTGTATAGCGCTGACGCCCCAAACAATCAAAAGTAAGACGCACCTTTAAGTGGTGTCAAAAGATGTTGTTTCAGTATTGAAAATCTTTGTAATATCTTGAAAATTGGCTTTTATCTCCGAAGCTTCAAAAATAGTATAGATCAAACAGATCTATGAACACTTGAAAATTGACAGTCCAGAAAAAACATTAGAGGATGCACTATTTTCAAGACTTCAAATCCATTTTTTTAATGTCTATATATCTTGAGGCCGAGATGATCAATTTGAGGATTTTTTAGCATCAAAGCAACCTCTTCTAGTGATTTTTTGAGGCGTGTCTTAATTTGATTGTTTAAGACCCACCCTCATATAAACTTTTTCCTTTTATTATTAGCAGGGCTCTCTTGAAATTTCATTTCCTATGAGATACAATAAGGAAATCACCAGTGGAAAAATTCCTCGAACCAAATATTTGGAAAATGTTTTATTTCAAAAAATTTGGAGTTCAGAGATTTATTTCTGTAACGTTTTATGCTTTTATCTTTGGAATTTCCAGAGGTATGCATTTTTTTTTTTTGGTCTCGAAGTTGATTTTCTACGATATGAACAAACGTCGCATGCATCATACAATCAAACGAGAACAATCATATGTCATACAATCAACCTTATAAGTGTTCATATGCAAAGACCCCACCAGAGTTTGATTGATTCTTGAGTCCCTGAACCTAAAGAACTCTAGGTAAAGAGAGAGATAGAGAAAGAGAGAAAAACGTTTGGTGGGAGTATGGAAAGAGAAGCACCTCTCTCACCTCTCCTCGCCGGTCCATTCCATTTCTTTGGAAGCTTGGGCCCAAGGCTCCAAAGAATAAGAATTATGCAAGGCAAAAGCCACAATTGTCGCTCCAAAAGAGAATAATGCAAGGTAAAAGCCACAATTGGCGTGAAACCCACTCATAAAGCCGAGGAAATACCCCACTATCATACTCAAAGCAACCAAAACCAAGATCCTCCACCACTAACACCCTTTCTTTTACAAGTAAGTGTTCTTTCTTCTCATACAAGCTTCACAAAAAAGCAAGACCTGTAAGCTTACATACATGCTCAGTGTAGTTCTTTACAAAGAGAACTAGAGGGTTCGCAGCATTTTTCAAATAGAGAGACAGAGAGAGAGAGAAGTGAAGCAATTTTGTTGTGTGAGAGAGAGACGAGGTGTTGAAGCGATTTTCATTCCCGTGTGCATGAGCGGTAACGATAGGAGAGATCGGTTGCCAGAGAGAGAGAGAGAGTGAAAGAGGTAGCGAAAGGAGAGATTGTTGTGTGTGAGAGAGAGTGTGTAAGAGGTAGTGAGAGGAGAGATTTGTGTGTGTGTGAGAGAGAGAAAGAGAGGTAGCGAAAGGAGAGATTGTTTGTGTGCGTGCGAGAGAGAGAGAGAGAGAGAGAGAGAGAGAGAGAGATAGATAGATGGGTGATTGGGGGCCTGTTGTGATAGCTGTGATACTATTCATCTTGCTCTCTCCCGGGCTGCTCATACAAGTCCCAGGAAGGACGAGGGTGGTGGAGTTTGGTAATTTCGCCACAAGTGGGATATCCATCTTGGTTCATACCATTTTATTTTTCGGTCTCCTTACCATTTTCACAATTGCCATTGGTGTCCATATCCACACCGGCTAAATCTTTCGAGAGATATGCTTTTTTGTCCATGTATTTCCCATTGAAGGGTGTGTCTTGTGTTCATCTTGAGCTTCCAGTGTGTGATTTCTTTATGAGATTTTTTTTTGCTACTTTTTAATTTACCTATGTCTTTAAGGTGACTTAATAATGTCAAGTTTATTTTCTTTTGCTTCCAACAAATGTGGCTTTTTTTTTTCTTTTCCTTTTTTTTTATCCTTGTGTGAGACCGGTGTGAGTGAACATGTAGCTTGAGGCGTCTTCAACCTCTGATTGCTATTTGGTGAGAATTTCACAATATTCATTTCTTTTATTGTTAAGAAATTTCACAATATTCGATTCTATAGGACCTGATTGTTTGGAAACAGGAGCTCCTCAAATCATCCGATTTCAATTATTACAACAAAAGATAGTCGAAATAAGGGCTTTAGAAACTGCAAAGCTGACTTGGAATTGCTCGAGTTGGTTCAAATTAGTGGACATGTAATTCCAGTTTAAAGAGCCTTAGACTCTTGATTCCCTATGATTTTGAAATTATTTTTGTTTTCTATTGGATCTGTGTGAAGATCCAACTCAAGAATTGTGCAAATTGGACCAATTGACTTGGTCAATTTCCCATTTAGGGTCTGATTTCTGATAGGGTTGGGTTGTTAATTCTTGTCAAAAGCCTTGTTCAAGTGTTTGCTATTGCAAAGAAAAAGTAGAGGAGGGTCTTGACAAGACTTAGCAATATATAAGCACTTATTGTTGAGGGATTTTTTCTCTTGCGAAGGACAAGTTTAAAAGTACTTTGCTTAACATATAAGCAAAAAGCCCAACCAATAGTTAAACCTTGCTATCACTGGTTTTGCATGTTGCTATCACTAGCAAAGCCAGAACAAAAAGCAAGCAATTAGCTGGTCGAAAGCCTATAAGCAACGACTAGCGCGAAAGCCGTTCGCAAACGAGCATATGTTTTTTTGCTTGTCTTCGCTGTCTTGAAAGGAAGAAGCAATGGCTAGCCTAGCGTGAAAGCGATTGCGCTAACATGCATCCATTTTTTACAAGAAAGAACGCCTTTCGCACTAGCCGTAGTTTGTTGGCTTTTGAGCCAAAGACAAGCAAGAAACCGAATGCGGGTGAGCACAATGGCTTTTGTGCTTGGCTAGTTGTTGCTTGTTGCAAGAAGATAGATGTACGTTAACGCAATGATATTCGCGTTAGCCGTTGCTTCTTGCTTTCCAGCCAGTGAAGACAAGCGAAAAAACAGATGCCCGTTAGTACAACGGCTTTTGCGCTAGCCATTACTTCTTACTTTCAAGTTGTAGTTTGTTGGGCTCTAGTGCACTCTAGCAAAAAAATGGATGCAAGTTCGCACAACGGCTTTCAAGCTAGCCATTGCTTGTTGGCTTTAGAGCTTATGCTTGTTGGATTTTTGCTGCTGCCCAATCCGACTAGAGTGCTTTGATATGTAGCCAACGAGCCTCGAGCGAGAAGATGTGTAGCATCAAAGCACTCGCGACAATGACAGGTAGCCAAGTCTTGTCAAAACACTTGTTGCTGAGGGATTTGACCTTGCTACTACTGGCTTTGCTCATAGCCTACATTGCCTTCCATAAGGATATGGAGGCTCAAAAGTTTAAGAAACTTATTTTTTTCTTCCAAGGAATAAATTTAGAATTCAATTAAGGAATGGCAAATATGAAAATAAGGCCATCTGTTTGTAAGATTTATGAAAAATGTCGACTGATTTTTAGGCGAGGATGAATTATAGTAATTTGTTCCAATCTGAAACATAAACATACAGAGGGGTAATTTTTTTATTTCTAAAAGAAGACTTCACAAGGTGCCTAACACTACTTTCATAATCTCGTTCTTTTTATTTTGCTTCACAATAACTCAGGATCCAATCCCATAGAGATGATGAATCCTTATCTAGAATCAATGGATTAATTGAATCTTGATGATACTGAATTAGATCAATATCATGAATAACAATATCTATCAAATTAATTCATCTTTGAGAATTGAACAGCATAACATAAGAAGATCCTTTATCCATACTAAATCCAAAAATGTGATTCCTCGTCCAATCAAGAATTCCATTGAATTTCTCATATTTTTCCACTATTTCCTTTCTATAATTCATCCTCCTACTTAAATACAATGGTATCCATTATCAAATAAAGTAGTCTTCCTCTTAACGAATGCCCCAGCGAGTTTAGCGCAACGTCAAAGCCCAACCAAACCAAGTACATAAGAAAGAGCCCTATTATTTTGCACTATTTAAACTTATGTACAAGCAACTTCTAGGCTTGCTATAAGGTATAGAGGGCCCGCAAACCATCCATTAAAATGTTTTGGCTCCCACCATAAATTTTAGACCTGGGCATCAAACAACGAAAGAACTTCTATATGAACACATACCAACTCTGTCAAGCTATAGATTTTAGAGGGATATTAAATCCAGATGACTTTCCTCTTTAAGTTTTGAGAAGAATGGTTCGATAGGAAATACCATCAGATCAAGAAGGATCCGCATAGCCCAGGGTTTTAAAGCTCATTATGGGATATTGGATGGGCCCCTCCACTCATTTGGATCGACTATTTCCTACCTATATCTCTCATTCTCTTATTATTTCCTATCTTTATCTGTCATTCTCTAAGGTTAAAAAAAAAAATTAAATTTTTTAAAAAATAAATTACATAAAATGAGAATAACTGGGTTTTCTAACCAAGAACCAATTCTACTAATAGAGCCACCCAGCTGAGGACTGATTCCCTGTTCCTTAAAGGAACTAGGTTGGTCCTCTACCATATTCGACATGCATCAGCAATTTTAAAAAACTTGTTATTGTTCAAAAAAAAAAAAGCTTAACCACTTGTAATTAAAAAAAAAGGTATACAACAAGACTGACAAGTCACATTCACCAGACCGTTAGATTTGAGTAGTTTGAGACGTGCGACTGCCTATGCTCAAAGTAGAAAATAGAATTTTTCAAATTTTGTGACATACCCCATGCTAGAAACTGCTCATCTAATATTTTGTCGGTTAAAAATGATTGTGACCCCCTTTTACTAAAAGTAAATATAAAAAAACGTACATACATATTGGAAAACCTTAAACTACACCACATAAGGACTGACCGTAGGCCACGGTCCGTGGCTAAGTTGGCCGGATAAACAAATATGTAACGCGAACCTCAAATTTTGTCAAATTGCAAGTGTAGATATCATGCTTACTCTTAAATTGGTTACTAGAAATCCGTGGTTGACATCACAATTAACACGGTGCCTCAACATCATGCTGCAAAGCTGAATGAAATAAGGATCAAGCCACTTGGGTCATGAATATTAAACATAAGGGTTGCAATTGACCAAGTGGCCTGGCTTAACCCTAAAAAGCTGGGGTCTGGGCAACATGATGTGGCTCAAGGGCCAGGCAACCACAATCCAAGGGTAAGGCCCGACCGTACTTGGGCTTGGACTATTTTTTGGATTTTATTTGGCCCAGTCCAGCTTGTATAGGGCTAGGGCCGGGCTTGGGCCTGGACCAATGCTTCTTTAGCTGGTCAAGACAGGCCAGGCCTAGACTAGCCCTATGCCACATTGTCATTAGGCTTTGTCCTTTTGACAAATAACTTTCAAGAAGCTTAAATGTGAGCAACTTATTTTAATTTATTTTGGTCGGAAGTTATGGATATCCATGAGAATTTGATGATTTCATTCGAACTTGTTTATAAAGAGGCCAATTGTGTAGTTGATGTCCTTGCTAAGTTTGGTGCGAACCAGAAAGTATTTTTAGTTTCTAGTGATTTGATTAATGTACAATTCCTTTGTATTTTTTCAATTTATTAATAAAATAACACAATCTTTTGTATCTCAATTTATTAATAAAATAACATAACATTGTCAAAAAAACTAAAAAATTTATTTTAATTTATTTGAAAAAAATATATAATGAAGCTATTTATCTGTGGTACAAAAGGGTCTTGGATGCGAAATTGGGCCTAGAGTATTTTTCCTCCCCACAACAATGCAACATAGCCACCTTCCCGCTGGATGGAGCGATAGGATTCGTTCCTTGCATCCAATCATCAAAGCCAAGTAGCCCCGACCCGTTAAAAGTACTTTCGGATGGTGTGGATGTTGGGTTACCATGCTTGCTCCAACAGAAGAAAAAAATCATAACTTTTGCCCAAGAAAGGTATGACTTCAATCCATTCTTCTCCACCCTTACCACTGCATAAATTACATATTCTCTCTCTACAAATCTCTCTCTCTCTCTCTCTCTACAAATCCAAAATTTCATATAGGGAAGTCATACCAGTCCCTCCTTCACAAACAAACGCCCCAACCATTTAAAACAGCAAATCCGATCCCACATAAAACCAAACTGCTCGAACGAAAAAGCTAGAACCAAAAGACCCCACATTACAGGCTCCAATGCCATCCGTTGTGGCTCCATCGGCCGAGCGCCGCGCGGCGCGCTATGCCCGTCGGCCGAGCCAGGCAGTGGCGGAGCGCATGGCGCGGGCGCTCCGCCACCGCCTCCTACTCCTTGACCGTCCCTCCCCCAACACCTTCTTGGTCCTGGGAGCCACCTCTAACGTGTACACTGTCACCCTCTCGACCTCCCCCTCCTGCTCATGCCCGGACCCCCGTGCCCCCTGCAAGCACATCCTCTTCGTATTGGTGCGAGCCCTGGACCTAGCCCTGACCGACCCTCGCCTGTGGCAGCGCGCTCTCTTGACCACCGAGGTGGCCGACCTTTTGGCACGCGCCACCTCGTCCGCAGCCCCTCTCGCAGGGCCAAAGACCCGCACCCGCTTTGAGGCAACTCGCGTGGCTCAGGGCCACGGTGATGGGGTGGTGCGGGGGCGAGGGGGGTTGTGTCCGGTGTGTTTCGAGGGAATGGACGACGAGGGGGAGGTTGTTGTTTGCGGAAGGTGTCGAAATGGGCTGCACAGGGAATGTTGGGGGGAGTGGAAGAGGAGAGGGGGGAGGAGGAGGTTGAGGTGTGTGGTTTGTAGGGGGGTTTGGAGAGAGGAGAGAGAGAGTGGGGGTTATGTGAATTTGGGGGAGGAGGTGGAGGAAGAGGAGAATTGGGGTGGGGAGAGGGGGATTGAGGAATTGTATCCAGAGACTTGGGGTTGGATTAGGAGGTGGCAGGAAAGAGATGCCTGAAAAAGGGGGTTGGAATTTGTATAACATGCTTCTCTCTTCTGTTTCAATGGATGAAATTTGGTTCTCATAAACAAGAAAATATTTTTGGAAATGATCAACAAAATCAATTATTGTTCCAAAGTAAAGACATCTGGTCAGTTCTTAACCATATAATTAATCACTTTTAGCGTAAAATTTAATCGATGAAAGTGTGTTGTAATATTTGAAAAATTTTATATTGTATTTTTTGCTCAACTAATAAAGCATCCTCAATCACCTGGTTTCAAATATTAAGGTTAATGATAATTGTAACCTCCTTGTATCAAATGATATCATTATATATATCTTTTATAATTTAATTGTCAACACTGTGACTTCTCATTTTGTTTGTTGTTGCATTGTTATTAACCTTTCGTTGATTTACGTAAAAAAAAAAATGTTAACATTTAGTCGACTCTTAACAATGTAATTCTTTTCTTAACAATATAAGTTTTCTTTTTGTTTGCAATTTCATTGCTATTGATGGCTGTTAAAGTAAGGTCTTCTTCTTATTTCACCACAAAATTATAAATAATCGACCAAATAGATCATTATATTACTCATTCCCCCTTAAAGCCTCTCTCTCTCTCTCATCGGTTTAGGTGGAAAAAGAAAATCTTTTTTATTTCCGAGTTATATAAAGAATTATCCATTTATGTTATTTTGACGGATAATATAAGAAATAAAAGCATGAGAAGTTGCAATCATTTTACTAATTTCCTAGCCAAGTTTCCACAAAGTAATGCTTAATGCCCAAGAAAGAAATGAACCAAAATGAAAGAAAATATTGATGAAAATAGAATCCTGGGTCGCGAACAACGATTTGAATAATGATGAAGATGAAGAAAGAGAATTGTTTTCACACTTGGCACCCATGATCAATAACCCTTTGTGGAAGTTCATGCTACTGTTGAATTCTTTTCTACATTCTATATCCATGCTCACTTCTCCAAACCTATGATGGGGGACTAATTTCTATTGAACTTCCATTTGAGGTGAAAACATGTGTGATAGGTATAGAAAATAACCACTAGCAAATAATCTACCAATTTTATTATCCCCAATATGATTTCTCTTAATGACATGCACGACCTCCTCTATGTCACGCCCAATAAATTACAACATTCATATTTTGAGTTAATGTAGAATTTATCCATTGATTAGGTTATCGTAAATAATAACATGGTTTAGAAAACATCGTTATCCTATCGTCAATGCCCATTAGATGTAGGGGTGGCAATGGGTCTGGTTGGGGTCTTGAACCTCGACCCGATAGGGCCTAACTTCGATCTGGGTTTAGAACCTAACAAAAAAATTTAAAAACGATATTCTAAACAATATATTTCAAATATATATACTTAGTTTGTAATAATATTGGATGAGTAAAACGAATTAATAAATGTTTGATATTTTGATGTGATACTAGTTTCACTATGAGAAATTATTTTTTGAAAATTATAAGATGGAAGTGTTTTCTAATATTTTTGAATTATTTTGATACAATATTATTATATTATCTTATAATAAATAATTATACAGACATCCAAACATGAGGATGTCTCAGTATTCACATATTTTTACAAAATAATGAATGTATAAAATGCATCACTTCTGAATTGGTTTAGAAACTAAAAGAACACTATTTTTAGAGATTTATAGTGATTTTTCAAAAACAATTGGAACAAAAACTGTCGATTCTACCGATTCTCTTATCTGATTCACCGATCCGACACGAGTATCGGTGACAGATTCAAGTCACCGATCCTTTTTTCTAAACCTTGCTTGTACCCAACATCCATTGTCCATGCAATCATACATTGTATTGAGAAACTAAAAAAGGCAAAAAAAAAAGAACTTGGCAGCCAAACAGCCAGCGACAACTCATCATCCATTATGTTTGGATAAATACCATTAGATGGTACCATATTCTATGTAAGGGGAGGGGGTATGAAATTTTTTTCTCATTTTTTTCTTTTCCAAAAATAGAACTTTTTTATCGAATTATTCTCATTTTGTGGCCTTACAGTCAGCCTCACCCTATGGCTATCTCAACTTCGGTTGCCATGCTCTTTTGTGAAGCTCAAATTTGATGGATGTTCTCTCTCTTTGGGAAAAAATAGAAAGGCGAACAAACCTTGAGCTTCTCCATGTGGAAAGCAGGATATAAGATCCTCCTGTTCTCACCCATTTCTCACATTCCGTACCCACAATCCCCCCAAACAACATCTTCGTTAACGCGCTCAGTTGGTTTCTCGAAGTGGCCAGATTTACTGAGAGGACCTCTTTCACCAGCTCAGGTTCCATTACAATTACTCTTGGAGTCCTTCCAAACCATGTTACACATATTTTGCCAACTCAACAAATTGCAAGAGAGAGACACCACTACTCATTAAACAGTAAACAGAGAATTTATTCACAAAAGAAAGAGTAAATGAGAGAAGAAGAAGTGTACATACACTAGTTAGAATAATCTTTGTGTGAGCGCAGGGTTTTCTATCTCAATTAATCCATGAAAAAATAGACTTAAAATGCAACTTATAAACTGAAGGTGAATTTGTAGAGTACCGTTAAGTCTTGACGGTTTGGACAAATATGGGGATGAGTCGAGGAGCGATCTGATTCGAAAGCTCGATAGACTTCGAATAGGCTTCTCGGATAAGCCGAATGCTGTCCTTTACAGTCCCAAACAGGAACTTGTAAGGAGGGCCGGCCCCTAATCCCTTGCTTCTCCAAGTGCTTTTCAAGGGCTCTAGGCCTCCACCATATTCCATAACCTATTCTTAAAGCAACCCATAATACAAGAAGAGCAAAACAAAGAAGAAGAACACCTTCCTTGGCTGCCGTGAGTGATAGGAAATGGGTTTCCTTGTTCAATCTCAACACCCCTCTATGAGCACTTATACGTACATGGGGCGTAAGAGGCTGTTGTTGAAAGCTGTGAATACTTTTGATTCCATCTCTTTCCTCTACACATTTATGTATTTTTTTTTTGGTGAGGAATGACCGGATATGATCCAGGAGAGGTGTGAATACTTTTGATTCCATCTCTTTCCTCTACACATTTATGTATTTTTTTGGTGAGGAATGACCGGATATGATCCAGGAGAGGTGACATCGAAAGGCTGTCCGACCGTTTAGTGGTTTCTCTTGCTTTCTCATCTTCTCTCTTCCCCTTCATTATTCTATCCCCTCCACGTCTTCTTGATTTCTTAACCCTCGAACCTTCAAACTCTCTCAAATCCTCATCAAAAGGGGGAGCCAAAAGGGGCGGTTGCGGCACACACCTTTTCTTTGATCTTTTCTCTATCATAAAAAGAGAGGTACAACGGTTTTTAAGAAAGGTTTCTCTGCCGGCGAGCGTCAAAAATCCAAAGACGACCAGCTGGCGACTCCACTCAGAACACATCACCCCAAAGTTGGTCAGGTTTATTTGGAAATTCACTTTGCACATAAACCCACGCATGAACACGGCCACCAGCCCCTCCGTGGTTCACATTTGCACATATCTCTGCACCCCATGAAGTGTGGCCATAAAACCGCCCCATCACGTGCATCACATAGCGAGGCTGGCACCTCTAAAGCCGGACGCTCTGCTCCACCTCGGATCAGCCTCAAAGCCACCCCAAACACATCTCTGGATGGTGCACAGGCCCAATACTGTCCCTAACTCTGATGGGAAAAGCCAGCAATACATGCCCCCTACTTCCTATAACCTCGCCATCCTACCCAAGCGTCTTACAACCTGGTACTCAAAAAGCTTCCTCCTGAGTACCCTCTTATCATCTCCCTCGGCACCTCATGAAGCTTCCTCCTGAGTACCCTCTTATCATCTCCTCGGCACCTCATATGTATGCCTGCTCCTGAGGACGGGCTCAGGGCAAAACCCCTCCCCTAAAACAGTTGGAACAACCTCCTCACCTCTCAGCCAAATATGAGCTACCCAAAACAGTCGTGAAATCCCTCACCCCATACCATCATACTCTGTCCGAACTAATGGTTTAAAAAACGGATCGGTGATCAGGATTGGGCACCCAAAAAATTGATCCGGATCGGCGAATCGACGATCCGGATCGAGAATCGGGTGAATCGGTTAGAATAAAGCTTAAAAAAATCCAAAAAAATTATTAAAATTCATTATAAATATTGTTTTTTAGGAACTCCATTAAGAATTTTCATGTTTTTGAATGAATATGCGAATATTGATATGTTCTTTCCCTGCATGAACCGCCATTCAGCATTTAATTTACATCACACAAAAGGATAAACATAGAATTATCATGGAATAAGTATATCAACATACATGGACTACAATAAAGCATAAAATTAATAATATATGATCTAAAAATAAAATGATAGACGACGTTATTGTTCTTCTTGGTCACGCTGGTGCCATTGATTGAATTCGTTTAACAATTCATTGATTCGATCTAAAAACGAATATCGATATTAGCAGGCGTCTGACTATTTTAGTGTTTTGTTGCGTTCCCAATCCAAAATCCCCGAAGCTTATCCATCCTTCATGCTCACCTGCACCGTCGTGCTCATCCCTACACTGTTGTTGTTGGGACTCGATATGTGAATAATATGGCTGGGATAGGGTGGCCTTAGAATCATCATCTCTCTCATTTTGTCTTTAAATAATATGGATTAAAAAAAAAATTTAACAAATTTTCAAAAAAATCGATCATGGATTAAAAAAAAAAATCACAAATTTTCAAAATCTTCTATCATAGATTACAAATAAAAATTCGATCATGGATTTAAAAAAAAAAATCACAAATTTTCAAAAAATTCTATCATGGATTACAAAAAAAAATTCGATCATGGATTAAAAAAAACAAATCACAAATTTTCAAAAAATTCAATCATGGATTACAAAAAATTCGATCATGGATTACAAAATAAAAAAAACATAAAAAAACAAAAAATTCAATCGTGGATTACAAAAAAAGAAAAAAACAATTCGATCATGGATTACAAAA